GGCTACGGTTACAAGGGCTGAGCCCAGCAGAGTCATTCTGCCGGCAGCCCTGGGGAGCTCATCCCGCCTCTGCCCCCGCTGCCCGGGCATTCCCAGCCCTCTCCTCCCATCCCGAGCATCACACGAAATGTCTAAGGGGAAAAAAAGGACTTGCTCAAGACCTGCTGCTTTTTCCACGCTGAAGCAGAAACAGCAATTATCTGGTTCAGTCTGGTGCTGCTGGCCTGGAACATGCCATGACAACGTGTTTCTCGTTTCAAAGCCTCTTTTGTACTAGGACACAGTTCAAGGGATCTTGCAATGCCTGCATTTGTAAACACGCCGCACTTGCAGCTACACGCTCTGCAGATGAAAGCCGAGGCGGAGCACAAGGGCACTTCTCTCTTCTCTTCTCCTCTCCTCTCCCTGCGTGTGTCGGGCCCGGGGCAGCTCCCCCGGCTCAGCCCGACGGCTGAATCAGGGCCCGGCAGCCCCGGGGCTGGGCAGCCACGCGTGGTCCTCAAAAGTCACGGCACGTTCAGAAAAACGGAGTCCTGGAAAAGGATGGGGGGGGGGGGGGGGGGGGGTGAAAATCACAGAAAAAAAAAAAAAAGTGCGTCACTGCAGATTATTTTAGGCCCTGGTCCATGCATAATGCAAATAAGCAGCTCCCGGGGTACATGCCTGTAAAAACCGTCCAGTCCCACTGCGCCCGGCCACGGGAGCTTTCCAAACAGGTGGTGAAAAGCTAAAATTATGTGTCTGTGTGTCCTCACCGGGGTTAGGAAAGGCCCTGGCTCTCAGGAAGGCTCTCCCTGTGCCTCCACGGGGCTGGTATGAAACAGGACCGAGACATTAAAAAATTCAGGAGCATTTCTTTCCTTTTGAGGCAATCCTGCGGTCCCACTCAGCAAACCTCACTCAGCACCTCCACGGCACCCTCTGATCTGCCTGACCCCGCTGCCCCCTCCCACCTGCTCTTCACGCACACTAACTTCATTTATTTTTAATTTTTTGCCCAAAATCATTGTATCCTCCTCGTCTGACTTCAAGGAGTCGCTCGGGAAGCCCTATTTATGGGTTGAAATGCTGCTGAAAGAGTTATTGCTGTGTTATTCAGCTGTTGTGCCAAGCCTGCATGGGGATCGGGTTTCTGCTGAAAGGGTGCCAGGCACGTCTTTTTCCAGGAACCAGCAGCCGTATTTAGCCTCCGGCTGCACATGAAAGACTGCAGTCGGAAACGTGACATTGTGTCAACATTTGAGGCAGGTCAGAGCTGGGTGAGACCATGAAAACAAGCCCGGGAACTCAGCACACCCCGGCGGGGCGGGCGGCACGGGCTGTCCCGGGCTGGCGCCGTGCCGGGGGTCGCCCCTCCATCCATCCATCCATCCATCCATCCATCCATCCATCCATCCATCCATCCATCCATCCATCCATCCATCCACCCATCTATCCTCCCGGGCTGGGATGGAGAGCCCGGGGATGCAGCTCCGGCTGCTGGGTCCCCACCCGGTGCCACCACGGGTGCAGCCCCTGCCCCACAGAACTCACCTGTCCTGCTGGCACCAGGCCAGGGCAGCAGGGAAAATTCCCAGCCCATAATAATCTTTTGCTTCCTGAGTAAATGTTCTCTCTTCCACTTTTCCTGCATTTTTTTTTTCCCTCTGAGACTGAGGATCTGGAAATCCTGCAAGCTGTCCCACCACAGGACAAGGGGGGCAGAATACGAGGACCAAAGGGGAGTGAGAGCCATGGAAAGGAGCCAGAAATCCAGGGGGTCCTAAGGCTGGAGACACCTCTGCACTGAGCACCAAATGCTGTCCCCAAATGGGGTTGTCACAGTCAGCCTCAGTAAGATCAATATTTAGCCCTAATTAAAGCAAATGAACACTGAGACATGTGTAGACCCCAAATACATTAAACCAAGCAGCGCTTTTTTCTAGCATTACTTAAGCTAAGGTTTCTTTAGTTCTAACTACAGTCTAACAGAAGCATCAGCCCCTCCATGTGGGGTCCTGGAGATGCTCAGCCCAGACCTGAGCAGAGCTGGCTCAATTGGACTCTTAAACCACTCCCCACATTTTGTGATTCATCTGCACAGTGAAAATCCCAAATCCCCCCTCAGAACTGCCCGTGTCCCATCCACACACAGGCAGCACCACTGGGAAACAGAGTCCTCCCACCCATCCCTTTGTTTCACCTCTCTTTTGCCTTTGGGGGAGGTTTGGGGTTTTTGCCATTTCCTCTGGAGACCAGAAGCCAGCATCACTGCTGGGAGGGAGCCGTGGTGGGATGAGGACCCTGCCCTCTGGCTCATGAGAGTAGAGGCAGCAGGCGGCTCCACCACCCACAGTGCCAGCTGGAATTCCCAAATCAGGGACACCTGGGACAGGTGGGGGTGGCAGGGATCACTCCAGCACAGGCAGGACCTGACCCTCGCAGCCCTCAGCCCCAGGGACCTGCTGGGCACCATCCCTGGCAGTGCTTGGGCACCTCAGACACAGCTGAAAGTGCTGAAGTAAAAGCAGTTTGCAGCAAGTCCATTATCCTCCAGGAACTGGGCAAAGCCTGGGGAGACACTCCATCCTCTGGGTGAGGGGCTGCCTCCTCCCCACAGGGCCCAGGAGCCAAATGCCAGACACAGGGAGCACAACGTGACAGCAGGAGAGAGCAGGAAAGCCAGCCAGGCTCTGCTGGCACCTCCCTCCAGTCCGGAAGGAAAAAAATCCCTGAAGGTGCCAAGGGAGTTAAAATAAATAAATATCCCTGGTGACACGGGTAATGGGACCCTGAGCTCCTGCAGGCACTGACAGCAGAGGAGCTGGGGGGAGCAAGGAGAGCCCTGCTCCCCCCTGCACCCCGAAATCCCCACTCCTCCCTGCACCCTGAAATCCCTCATCCCCCCTGCATCCCAAATTCCTGCTCCCCCCTGTGCCATCCCCTGCAGGACCAGACCATGTGGGATGACCCTGCTCAAACATTTCAAAGCAAAGGAGGCAAACCCTTATCTTCCACAGGAAAAGAATTATTTTATTAAGCATTTTTAAACAGCTACTTAACATTTACTCAAGATAAAAATATGTACAATATCCCACCTTGAAGGCAGCTCCAAAATATAAACACTGTACCTCTCCCGAGAGAAAAACGGAATATTCTTCTCTTCAAAAAAAAAAAAAGACAACCCAGAAACAAGAATACATTCATATTTCTCACTTCTTTATGCTCAAGTAGTTATACAAATAATAGACATCTGAAACATTTTAACTTTTAATATATTTATATAATATATATATATATTTATAACAGGATTTTACAAATAAAGGCAACAACTGTATACCAAAAAAACCCAAAAAACCAACAACAAAATAAACGTTAGAACACAATCTGCAATCAAGCATAGTGCATCTCAACAGCTGGTGCAATGGGAGGGCGACATGAGGATCCAGACAGGGGTTCTGCTCACCAGTTCTCAAAACCAGTAAGAAAAAAACCACCAAAGAGCACTGCCTTTAGCAGTGAAGTTTGGGGGTTTTTAATTAAAAAGAAGCTAAACTGGAGAGGATGTTCCTCTGTGGAGGAAGCCCCTTGCAGCTCACAGGACAAGAGTCACCACCCGACCCCTCTCCCCTTAACACGGGACGTGAGCCAGGTGTGCCAGGAGGAATCCAGCTGCTCCAACCCCGCCGGGATCAGGCTCCTGGGAAATCCCAGCCTTGCCATTCTCCAAAGGCACTGCCAGGGCCACGCTCAGCAGGGATGGGCAGGGAGGGGCAGGGATGGCGCTGCCGGCTCGGGCTGAGCCGCTCCCTCCGGCCGGGAAAGCCGCGGTGACTCCCGAGGGAGCGGCAGCCGCAGGGGCCGGTGCCAGCAGCGAGGCGACCCCGGGGACAGCTCCTCCCGATCCGGCCACCCCAGGGCCGGCTCCTCCCGACCCCGCGATCCCGGGACAGCTCCTCCCGAGCCGTCCCAACGGAGCAGCTCAAGTTACACGAAGGGCGCAGGTTAATTTATTTATTAGATGTACGCCATGGAAAGCTCCAAGCAGCAGCTACCTTTTATTTGGTAAAAAAATATCTATGTATCAGCAAAGGTGTGGAGAGAAACTCCTCTTAGGTCTGTCTGCCTGATCTGTGTGTGACCAGGCAGTGACCGCTGCCCTGCCCCTCCTGGTCTCCTGGTGGCATTGCCACCACCACACCACAGTGACCACTGCCCTGCTCCTCCTGGTGACATTGCTACCCCTGCAGTGACCACTGCCCTGCTCCTCCTGGTGACATTGCTACCCCTGCAGTGGCCACTGCCCTGCTCCTCCTGCACTCACAGTGGCATTGCCACCACCACCAGTAACCAGTGCCCTGCTCCTGCCATGCTCATGGTGGCATTGCCACCACCACCACACCACCAGTGACCACTGCCCTCCAGTGCTCACGGTGGCATTGCCACCACACCAGTGACCGCTGCCCTGCTCCTGCTGTGCTCACAGTGGCATTGCCACCACACCAGTGACCGCTGCCCTGCTCCTGCTGTGCTCACGATGGCATTGCCACCACCACGCCTGTGGGGTCACTGGGACACAGCCCAGCTCAGGTGAGCCAGCGGGGCCGTTGCCTCCAGAGCCGCTCAGGGAAGTACCATGGTTTATATTAATGTATTTTATATTCACAGACCCTCAAACCAGGTCTGCCCAATGGAATATTTCTTCACAGCTTTGCAAGAGATTCGCAGCTGACCGAGTCAACTGTTGCTCTGTAGATGTGGAGAGGGAAGAAGGGAAGGGGCCAAGCACAAAATCCTTCTTTAATCTTTTGGAAGTAGTTGTCAATCGCTAACCTGGGCGCATCCTTCATCCTTCTCCAAGCTACCTGACAAGTCAGAGAAAAGGGGATTTAGCTTCCTACGCACAGTGAACCTCGTCCCCACACCTCAGTCCAGCCAATATATAAAAGTGAAACAGTCTCTCAAACTAAAAAAAAAAAAACAAAAAAAGGAAAAAAAGAGAAAAACCAGTCACACTGTGCTCAGTCTTTGGTTTCCAAGTTCAAAGGAGGAATCTGCTTCAAAGCTTGAAGCAGAGCCGAGGAGTCGATGGGGGAATGGGCCGGTACAGGAGAAGGGAGTCTCTGGGGCATCAGCAGAGGGGGGGAGATTTTGTCGGGGTTCATGAAGCCCGTCAGTGCCGCGGCAGAGGCCGGCAGGCTGGGGTACAGCACGGGAACCGAGGCCGGGTACCAGCACTTCTCCAGCATGGGCAGGTAGGCGGTGGCGGACGGCGGGATCAGGTAGAAAGGCAGGCACAGGGGAGGCTGGTGAGCGTGGGGGCCCAGGAAGCTGCTGGCAGAGCCCATCATGTCACTGCCAAAAGGGCCCTCGTCCTGCGGCGACTCCAGCCTGCTCCTTTTGGCCGGCGGGTCCTCAGTCTCTTGCTTAATAGAGCTTATTCTCTCCTGGACAGCGTACTTGAGGTCGGTATCCTTTTTGAAATAGGGCTGTTCCGATTTGGAGTCGCTTTTGTCCAGCTCTCCCCCGTACCCGCTGTCCGTGTCCGTGTCGCTGCCGCTCTGCTCCCCGCTGGAGTGAGCGAATGTCCGCTGGATCACGGGCACGCAGTTCTTCCCGTGGCCCTCGCCCGCCGCGCCCAGAGGCGCCGGCTTCTCCTTCAGGTCCAGCATTTTGGGAGGGATGTCCCCGGCCTTGCGGGCCGCCCCGCCCTGCAGCACCTCGCTGGCCATCCGGTGCAGGTGGCTGACCAGCTGCGACGACTTCAGCTCCTTGCCGTTCTCATGCTTTGCCAGGTATTGCAGCATTTCCTTGGCACACATCTGGAAACCGGATCGAAACATTTCCTGGCTGGAATCGAGGTTTCTCGATGACAGGTCACCTAAGGAAACATTAACAGAAAGAAATTAAAAATTAACAACATGCTAAATAGTTCCATTTCCAGCTCCGAGGCGGGCGATATTGGACTTGGGTTACAGCACAGCCTGAGGGGAACGTGATGGCCAAGCTGGACTCTATGGACAGAAATCCCCAGATTTCTGCAGAAAAGGACAATTCCATTGGAACATCCACCTGTCTACTTTTACATAATAAGTAAAAGTGCTGCCTGCTCGTTTTTGCTATTTACTGTAAAATCCACTTTCAGCAGGTACTGGAGTGTGGAGAGGGGAGTGAGTCAAGCTGTGGCTTCTCCAGGAAACCCCCAGGGAAGGCAGGGTGCACCTCGCCCTGCACCTCAGGGCAGGGAGCTGCCGGCCCTGCCGCAGCTCCGCCAGCCCCAGGGGACTCGGCTGCTCCCGCAGCTCCACTGCACTCCCTGTGGCTGCCGGGGCACGGACCGTGCCTCCGAAAAATTCGGGTTTACTGTATCCGATTCACGTGAGAGCCACATGTGAAATCAGCAGGAGGAAGTGCATCTGAGGCTGATAAGCTGAAGCACCGGGTCCCCTCTGCCTGGAGAGCACAGGCCAGGTCGGTTACAAAGAAACTTAAAAAGGTGTGTATAGAAAGCAGATTTATATCTATTTCCAGAGAAAACAGCCAAATAAACCAGACTGAGTTATCTAAAGCTCACAAACACAAATGGGGAGAACCAAATGGCTTTAGAGAGAACCTCACAGCAAACCTGGGTTGTAACTAAAACTACTTAAAACCCAGTTTAATTTCAAACAACTCCCAGGGCACTCTGCACTGACCATCTTGAGCAATGCATCTTTTTTTGTGAAAGCTCACAAGCAAAGCCTGAGAAAATGACAGCATGAAAGGCCAGGATTCCTGCCTCCTCCCTTCTCGGGAACAAGGTGTCACAACCGCATTTCACAGGCTCCCCAGGGAAAGCCCATCACACACACACAGAGGCTCTCGCCCTGCCGGCTCAACACTCACCCGCCTGCAAACCGTTCTGCAAAGCGATGATCTTCTGCTGCTGCTGCTCGATGAGATTGGTCAGTGCCTTCACGTGCTTCAAGGTGAGCTCCAGAACCACAGCCTTCTCCAGGTGACCTAGAGTCTGGGAGCACAGGGACAGGTTGGCACCCGCCGCCGGCTCGGCCACGCAGGCAGGAGCTGCCAGCGCCTTCCCGGGAGCCGCGGGAGGACGGGCACGGCGAGACCTGAGCAGGCAGGATCACCACCGGCAACATTGCACGGAGAGAAGTTAAAAAGCAGGCTGCGGAAAAGGCTCTCAGGGAACCCTGCGGGTGCTTCGGGACCAGCCGCATAGCCCGGAGAGAAGCGTTTCATTTATCGGTTCTGTTGCCCCTGCTGGCACCGTGACCGGGCAGCCCGGCCGGGGACGGCTCTCGCCCGGCAGCGGCGCGGGGGGGACGGCCCGGCGGGCAGCTCCCGCAGCTCCCGGGGAAGTTTGGGATGTGCTTACAGCCTACCCGGGCGTGCGGCACCACGGAAAAAAAATTAAAAAAAATAAAATAAAAACCCACCCCAAATCGGCGGTGAAGCGGCAGCAGAGCGCCGGCCGCAGGGGAGCCCCGTCCCTCCGCTCGCACCTACCGTCAGCTTGAGGTGCTCGGGCAGCAGGTCCTTCAGCTGCGCGATGCACTCGTTGATCCTGTCGCGCCTCTTCTTCTCGATCAGCCGGTGCGGCAGCTTGTAGGTCTCCTGCGGGGCCGGGGCAGCGGGTCAGCGGGGGGACAGCGCAGCCCAGCCCAGCCCAGCCCCGCTGCTCCCGTCCCGTCCCGAGCGCGCCGGGAGCGGCCGAGCCCCCGCCCCGGGAGCGCTGTCACGGGCACGCACCGGCCGATTCACCCCGTTAACCCCCGGTTCACCCCGTTAACCCCCAATCTACCTTATCGCCCCTCGCTGTACCCCGTCACCCCCCATTTACCTTGTTGTCCTCGCTCCTCTTTAAGCCCCTCCGGGGCTTGTACACCTGGTACATGTGCGCGAAGTCCAGCCTGCACGGGCGAGAGGAGAGCAGCGCGTTACCCCCGTCCCGGAGCCGGCGGGGCCGCTGCCCCGGAGCCCCCCGAGCCCCCGAAGCCCCGCTTACCCGGGCAGGTCTCCGCTCTCCAGGGCGGGCAGCTTGCCCAGGCAGCCGGGCGGGGGCTGCGCGCTGGGGATGCGCTCCATGGCGGGGGGCGCTCAGGGCGGGCAGGGGCGCTCAGGGCGGGCAGGGGCTGCGGGCGCTGCCGGTACCGGGGCCGGTGCCGCTGCTGCTGCTGCTGCTCATGCCGCGCCCGCGCCGCGCGGGCTGAGGAGCGGCGGGCGGCCGCGGGCCGGGTTAAATGCGGGCGAGTGGGTGGACGGGAGCGACGTGCGGAGCCCTGTGACCGCCGGCACGTCTGGCGGCCCCGGCGCCCCCGCCCCGCCGTCACATGAGCCTCACGTGGCGGCGGCGCGGGGGGAGGCGGGGCCGCGGCTCCGGGGCCCCCCCGCACGTGTGTCCCGGCGCGGCGGGGCCGGAGCTGGCGGCGCGGGGCCGGGCCGGGCCGTGCCACACAGTGCCGTGCCGTACAATGCCGTGCCTTGCTGTGCCAGACCGTTCCATAAAGTGCCATACCGTGCCGTGCCATACCGTGCCTTGCCATACAGCGCCGTGCCATACAGCATCTTGCTATACAGTGCCTTGCTATACAGTGCCTTGCTGTGCCATACCGTGCCATAAAGTGTCATACCGTGCTGTGCCATACCGTGCCATGCTGTGCCATACAGTGCCTTGCCATACAGTGCCTTGCTGTGCCATACCGTGCCATACAGTGTCATACTGTACCATGCCATGCCATACCATGCCATAAAGTGTCATACCGTGCTGTGCCATCCCGTGCCATGCTGTGCCATACAGTGCCTTGCTGTGCCATACCGTGCCATGCCGTGCCATACCATGCCATACAGTGTCATACTGTACCATGCCATGCCATACCATGCCATAAAGTGTCATACCGTGCCCTGCCATACCGTGCAGTACCACTGCTGCGTCCCGACATAGGGGAAGGAAAAAAAAAATCACACCACACCCCCCCCCCCCCCCCAAAGCAACACAGGCACAAAACATGGACCCGGAGAAAGCTGAGAAAGCTGCAGCCGCTGAAGTTTGGAAATGTGGGGGAAACAATAAAATAAGTGAGAGTTGATAAAATGCAGCTCTGGGGAAGTGGTGGTGCTGCAGGGAAGTTTTGGGGTGGTAGGATCCCAAAGGAGGTATCCAGGGCTTGGAGTAACTTTCTCCAGTGAAGGGAACCATCCCTGCCCATGGCAGGGGGTTGGAACGAGGTGGGCTTTAACGTCCCTTCCAAATAAAACCATTCTGTGATTCTATGATCAGCAGGAAATTCTCCCCTGTGAGGGTGGGGAGGCCCTGGCACAGGTTCCCAGAGAAGCTGTGGCTGCCCCTGGATCCCTGGAAGTGTTGCATGGAATAACCCGGTCTTGTGGAAGGTGTCCCTGTGCATGGCAGGGGTGGAATGATGACAATTTAAGGTCCCCTCCAGCCCAGACCCTTCCATGAGATGCCATGCCCGTGGCAGCCTGTGGATGCCAGCGGTTGCACAACGCTGAGCAATGGTAATGGTTTGTGTGTACCTGCCAAGGCAGAGCTCTCCTGAAGGGCCGTGGTCACTTCCCTGCTGAGTGCTGAGCAAGTAGAGGCAGGCTCAGCTGATAAAAGGTGCATTTACCAAGATAAGGGAACAGCAGAGCTCCAGCACTGCTGCTATTTCCTGCAGAGTCCTGGCTGCTCCACCTCAGGAGGAATCCGAGGGCAGGAGGTGCTACATGAGAGCACAGAGAGGTTTTACATGGGTGATGGAGACAGGCTGTTTAAGGCTTACCCCTGTCCAAAGGTGTCTGCTGTTACCAGGAAGAATCCCAAGGGAAGTTGGAGCCTCAGAAAAATGCTAGCTATAAATGTAAGGTCTATAAAAGCCCAAAATCCCCTCCAGTGTGAACAGACAGCACTATATCAGTGACACGGGGCTCCCACAAAACAGATGCTTGGCTTGTCCCACTCAGCATGGTCCTCTCAGTGTTTGACATCCAAGCCTGCAAACCCGGTGAATATGGCCAGGATCGTGGAATCCCATAATGGTTTGGGTTGGGAGGGACCTTAAAGACATCTCAATCCAACCCCCTGCCATGGGCAGGACCTTGAGGGTCTCTGTGTGCCACAGAGGAGGAGTTAGGGCTGAGCATGGAGCTCTGAGTAGCACAGACCCACAGCTCCGAGCTGTGACCTCCCACAGCAGAGCTGCTCTTTGCTGCAGGCACTGAACAGACTCTGCAATAACCACCAGGAGACGTGGGGGTGATGTGTTTGTCCCCTGCTGCTGCTCAGGGGACTGTAACCAGCCTCAGGAAGGAGCCCTGGAGCAGACGCTTCGTTCTCTCTGTGCCCCCAAGACCAAAGATGTTATTTTCCAAACAAAGGGTGAAAAAAACACAGACAATTTTTCATCTGTCCCATCACTGACCCTTTGTCCAAGGCAACAGAAATAATTAGAGCTTGCTGCAGCCTTTTGCTAATGAAAAATGAGGTTTGGGGCCAATCTGCTCTGCATTTGAAGTTCGGGCTCCAAGAGTACGTGGACAGCTTCATGCCCGTGGATTGTCTGACTCCTGCATGCTCCTTCAGATATTCAGTACATTCCTGCAGTGGGTGGTGAGCCACAAATCAGGGTCAGAGGTAATCCCCAATTATTTAGCCCTTTTACTGTTCTCGTGCTTGCCAAACAATTCTCCATATCAGGATTTGCTCATGACCTTAAGGGATGTTGCCAAGGATTTAGGAGTCCCCCTAAAAGGAGGATCCAAATGAAGTTATGGCATTCTTGGGCATCAAGTGAGATTGCTCGAGAGTTGAGTTACATTTTCCTGGGGATCGGTTTTCATGAGCAAGGACTGATGCAATCATCAATTCGCCTTCTCGCTTGTGTTTGCTGAATTATTTCTACATGGAGGGCTCCTTTACACCACACGACTCAGGCAGTAACAAAATGTTTAAAAAGGCTGAATTCCCTCCAGCCATCCGTGGAGCAGCAGCTCTCCTGAGCACTCCTCCAGCAGGGCTGGGAGTCACAGGACCGCGACAGCTCGTGTCCAAGGGGATTTGCAGTTATTTACAGAGGCACGAGAAGGTGAGAGTTTGGGGGCTGGTTTGGGGGTGGGTTGGGAATCCGAGACTCAGGATCTGCCCCTTCCCTGGGACTGTCCCCTTCCGACCGCAGGGATTTGGGGGAAAACGTTCCAAAAATCCCTGGCACTGCTGTCTGATGGAAGCCTATGTGGGCAGCGCCGGGAGTTAACAGATGGGTTGTGGATTCGAGCTTACGATAAGGTTACTGAGGGTGGTTTTGTTTTAAAATGTCTCTTACTTAATATATCCATGAAGGCCAGGCATGTGCCTGTGGCCTGTAATCAAATCGCTGACTCTCCCTCTCTCCCGTTTCCAGCAATCCCGGCTCGGGTTACTGGCACCGGAGGTGAAAGCTCAGCCCTGCCGAGGCTGGACGCGCCGGGATGCGCTCAGCGCTCGGCATCCTCGGCCCCGAGCCGCCGGCAGGGCAGGAACACCCCGTGCTTTCCGCACCAGGGAGAGTTCCTGCGGGAGCCAGGCTGTCTGTGACAGAGCTGGGGCTCTCTCCTGTGCTCAGCAAACGTGACGGCTCCGCTCCGAGCCCGGCAGCTCCGCAGCTGCTGCTCCCGCCCCCGGCACGGACGGGAGGCTCGGGCGGGGGACAGCGCCTCCATCCCCGCAGGTCTGTGTCCTGCACAGTGCGGGCAGTGTGGGCCTCCATCCCCATGGGGTCTGTGTCCTGCACAGTGCGGGCAGTGTGGGCAGTGTGGGGCTCCATCCCCACGGGTCTGTGTCCTGCACAGTGCGGGCAGTGTGGGCCTCCATCCCCATGGTGTCTGTGTCCTGCACAGTGTGGGCAGTGTGGGCCTCCATCCCCGCAGGTCTGTGTCCTGCACAGTGAGGGCAGTGTGGGCCTCCATCCCCATGGGGTCTGTGTCCTGCACAGTGTGGGCAGTGTGGGCCTCCATCCCCATGGGGTCTGTGTCCTGCACAGTGTGGGCAGTGTGGGCCTCCATCCCCGCGGGTCTGTGTCCTGCACAGTGTGGGCAGTGTGGGGCTCCATCCCCATGGGGTCTGTGTCCTGCACAGTGTGGGCAGTGTGGGCCTCCATCCCCGCGGGTCTGTGTCCTGCACAGTGTGGGCAGTGTGGGCCTCCATCCCCATGGGGTCTGTGTCCTGCACAGTGCGGGCAGTGTGGGCAGTGTGGGCCTCCATCCCCGCGGGTCTGTGTCCTGCACAGTGAGGGCAGTGAGGGCCTCCATCCCCATGGGGTCTGTGTCCTGCACAGTGTGGGCGGTGTGGGGCTCCATCCCCGCAGGTCTGTGTCCTGCACAGTGTGGGCAGTGTGGGGCTCCATCCCCATGGGGTCTGTGTCCTGCACAGTGCGGGCAGTGTGGGCCTCCATCCCCATGGGGTCTGTGTCCTGCACAGTGCGGGCAGTGTGGGCCTCCATCCCCATGGGGTCTGTGTCCTGCACAGTGCGGGCAGTGTGGGATGCAGCCAGCCAGGAGCTCCCAGGAGAGCTGCACGTCTCTTTTCCCACCCGCAGTGTCCAAGGCAGGCATGGGAGAAAGAGCTCACACCCCTCAGCCACAGCCGGTCCCAAGGGACACCATGGGACCTCACAGCGCAGGGTGTGAGCAGCAGTTTGACACCCACCAGGCTCTGCCTCAGCCTTCTGGGAGTTGCAAAAGCCCGATTTGGTGTGGAGCCGGGCGGTTTCAGCTTTGTGTGACTCTCGATAGCACAGCTGGCCGTGCTCACTGCCGCGGAACCGTCAGGAACCGTCACGAGTCAGAAGTCGAGATTTAATATTGCAAATATGTGCATCCACCGCTGCTTAATTGCATTGGTTTAGGCTGCCATGGGCTCTGGCTGGATAAAGCACTGGGAAAACACAGCAGGAGCTGTTGTCTCTGTGCCCTCCCTCCGGCACGACCCTGGAGCGCTGCCGGGCACGTGAGAGCTGCGGGAATGGGGAATGACGCTGGCATCGCTCAGCGAAACTCGCCCGAGGACTATTCAAATGAAAGCCATTCCCCTCTTTGAGCGGAGATGTTTG